AAAAAAAAAAAAAGAAGAGAGAAGTGGAAACCATAGAGTGGATCAGCCTCTATATTTTGTGAATTAGATTCATGTTGATCCTGACCATGCAACTGAAGAAGAAATGACTTACGGGCGGATTCTGTTTTAATTTCACTGTAAGTCAGGGTTCTGACACAAGGTGAATGCTTCGTTGTTGTTATTTATTTTGTTACTGATTTTTATTACCAGTATCTTTATAAATCCAATCTTTGAACATCTGCAAGTGAATATCTGAAGATTATAACATCAACAAATGGCAACATTGTATGCAGCATATATTACTAACAATAAGATATACACACAACACAAAATTGATGACTGTAAGTGCAATTCATTGTCACTTGGATACATCATAAATTAGGGACTATGAAAACAAAATATGGGGAAAATGTTACCCGAAGACACTGAAAAGTAAAGAAATCAAGTAGATTCTGGAATGGTGTAGAAATTGGATAAAAAGATTAACAGAGAATGAGATGAGACCATATCAGGCAACTAAAACGCTGATCAAAAATAAATGAAGCCAGTAAAAAAGCAAAAGAATGAGTTCAGGAAAACTACAGCCACTGAAAAAATAAAAGGAACCCATGAAAAAAGACGAGTCACAAAGAGGGTCCCCAAATTTTCTATTTAGATCTCTGGCTGACCACCAAAACATGCATCGGTGGGGTGGATTATACATGACATGCTCAAAACTAGAGAACAGACTGCAATTCAAACTACCACATAGGAAGCAAAATTCAATTTGAATCTAATCAAGTCAATTACCTAATAAAACAAAAGCATGCACATTCTTTGGAGAAACATAATAGAAACCTGAGTCTCCAGAGAAGAGCATGACCCCACGAGTTGGGGTTGTCTTAACAGCAATGGGATGTGCAAGATGCAAACCAAAATTATTCAATAATTGAAGAATCAAGAAGGCATCTTCTTTTGCGCCATTTCAAGAAAATAAAACACAACCAACCGAGATTAATCCCAAGATGATCCAGGTGTTAGAACGTAAATGACTCGGTATTAATATGCTCATGGAAAGAAAGGAAAATATCCTTGCAATGAGTTGGAAGATAAGAAATCTCAGTACAGAAATAGAACTTACAAAGGAGAACTAAAAGGATTCCTGGAGCCAAAGACCTAATATCTAAAATTTAAAATTAATTGTACTTGATTAGCAGAATGTTAAAAATGAGCCAGACCAACCCTCCTCCCTTCCTCTACCTCCTGCACTCCCATGTCCCTCCGGGGCCATCGGTCCCTTTATTTTCTTCATATATATATAT